CATCCACCTATATGGCCAGCTGATCTTTGACACAGTACCAAAGTCCATTAAATGGGGAAGACAGTCTTTTTAACAAATGGTGCTGACAAAACTGAATGCCCATCTGTAAAAAAAATGAAACAGGATTCATACCTCACACCATACACAAAAACTAACTCAAAATGGATCAAAGACCTAAATATAAAACCTAAAATAATAAAGATCATGGAAGGAAAAATAGGGAAAAAGCTAGGGGCCCTAATACATGGTATAAATTCAATACAAACCATAACTAACAATGCACAAACACCAGAAGAGAAACTAGATAACTTGGAACTCCTAAAAATTAAACGTTTATACTCATCAAAAGACTACACAAAAAGATAAAAGGAGAACCTACAGAGTGGGAAAAAAATTTTGTCTAGGACATATCTGTCTTAGTTATCTAGTGCTGCTATAACAGATATACCACAAGTGGATGCTTGAGCAAAGAGAAATTTATTTCCTCACAGTAAATTAGGATAAAAGTCCAAACTCAGGGCATCAGCTCCAGGGGAAAGCTTTCTCTCTGTCAGCTCTAGAGGAAGGTCCTTCTCACCCATCATCCTCTGGACTAGGAGCTTCTCCGCACAGGATCCCTGGGTCCAAAGGATGCGCTCTGCTCCTGGCACTGCCTTCTTGGTAGTATGAGGTCCCCCTATCTCTCAGCTCGCTTCTCTCTTTTATATCCCAAAAGAAACCCAAGACACGATCCAATCCTGTAGATTGAGTCCTGCCTCATCAACATAATTGCTGCCCATCCTCCCTCATTAACATCATAGAGGCAGGATTTACAACACACAGGAAAATCACATCAGATGACAAAATGGTGGACAATCACACAATACTGGGAATCATGGCCCAGTCAAAATGATAACACGCATTTTTGGGGTACACAATTCAATCCATGACAATATCCAACAAGGGTCTAAGCTCTAAAACCTATAGAATGCTTCAACACCTCAATAACAAAAAGACAAATATTCCAATTAAAAAACAGGCAAAGGATATGAACAGACACTTTACTGAAAAAGACATTCAGGCAGCTAACAGACAGATGAGGAAATGTTCAAGATCATAAGCCATTAGCCAAATGCAAATCAAAACTACTACGAGATACCATCTCATCCCGACATTAACGGCACTAATCAAAAAAGGAGGAAATAACAAATGTTGGAGAGGTTGCAAGGAGATTGGAAACTCTTATGCACTGCTGGTGGGAATGTGAAATGATACAACCACTCTGGAAAACAATATAGCACCTCCTTAAAAAGCTAGAAATAGAAATACCATATGATCCAGCAATCCCACTCCTAGGAATATATCCTAGAGAAATGAAGAGCAGTTACCCGAACAGACATATGCATACCCATGTTCACTGCAGCATATTCACAACAGCAAAAAGATGGAAACAACCTAAGTGCCCATCAACAGATGAATGGATAAACAAATTATGGTATATACACACAATGAAATACTACACAACACCAAAGAAGAATGATAAATTCACGAAACATCTCACAACACGGATGACTCTAGAGGGCATTATACTGAGTGAAGTTAAGTCAAACACACACGCACACACACACACACACACACACACACACACACACACAAAGAATATAAATTTTGCTGTCACTAATGTGGTGTAATAAGTACTAGTTAGGCTGAGAGTGTTATTTAAGATTTTTATATAATGACTGGTTTTCTCTCTAGTTGTTCTACCCAAAATTGAGAGTGGGCTACTGAAATCTCCAACTATTACTGTTGTCTATTTCTCCATTTAGTTTTGTCAGTTTTTACTTCATGAGTTTGGGACTCTGTTGTTGGGTGCATATATATTTCTAATTGTTTTATCTTTTGATTTATTGACCTTTTTAGCCTATTAATGTCCTCATCTCTAGAAATATTTATCTTAAAATTGATTTTCACGGATATTAATGTTGTTGTTGTTACTTCTTGAGTCAATTCCACCAGATGGTGACCCCATGTGAGCAGAACAGAACTTCTCCATAGGGTTTTCAAGGCTATGACCTTTTGGAAGTAGATCTCCAGGCCTGTCTTCCAAGGAGCGTCTGGGTGACTTTGCACCACCAATCTTGCGGTTAGTAGTTGAGCGCTTAACCATTTTTGATACCCAGGGACTCCTGATATAGCCCTTCCAAATCTCTTGTTGTTACTGTATGCATGGTCTATCACTGTTAAGTGCTGTTGTGGTTGGTCTTATTATCATCAGCATAATACATGATGTAATTCTGCACTCACTTGTATAGTTCTTAAATTGTTCAGTTTGCAGGATTTTTCATAAGAAGTGTATAATTTTTTTTACATCAGTTTTATATATTTTTTGGTATAATGTTGACTATAACAACGATAAATACTTGATTCATTCAAAGCAGTTGGCTGGAGCCCAAAACAACTTCCTCCTTTAAAAGAAAATCCAGCTATGTATTTGCTGCACAGTGTTCTTTCCTGATATCATCTCACCTTCAGTCGCAATTCTGAAAGCCGAACATGATACTTGCCTGCCTTCCTGCCAGTTCAAATCCTGGATTTATGAACTGTGTAAGTAAAGAAAGGTTGTTACCATAACTCTTCCGTTTCTTTACAAGAACCACATTTTAGGAACACTCATTTAAATCAGATGGCTTAATCCCAGTTATTGTTGCCTCTCCTGCAGGCCTTTGATAAACTAGAAAATTGTTTAGATCACTAGACATGTCTTACATATAGTGCACAATGTGCATAGCGCTGCCTTTTCTCATGATTAAAATACATGAAGACTTCCGAGCTTTTAGGACTCATCATACTTTTTATGTGCAAAGAACTTATTCTTGCATTAATTCCTTGGTATTTTTAGCCTTGCCTCAATGAAAGGATGTTGCTGACTCCCCCATATGTTAAAGTATGGAATTATTATTCAAGTGATGCTCGTCAATTTAAATGGGGCTCGAGCATGATACAACATGCTAATTTCAATAGGAAATTAAAAATTGTCTACTCAATGAATCATATAGGACAAAAGGTCATTTTAAAAGAGTAGACTCTGTCTTTTATGTCTATGAAATCTTTCACTGATGATATTGGAAATTGGATATAATTGCCTACATACAGTCTTAATCGCTCTATATAATTACATCTATATGAGATCACTGAATTAAGACTTCTTGATTTGTGGCCCCCTTAAGATCACCTCTGTATTTGATGTCTTATGATGACGACAAGAAAAATGATGTTATAGAAAGGTGCAGGGGGTATTAAGAGAATAGAAGGCAGGATTAGAACTGAACTGACGCATATGATCACGGATCAGAAAGCTGAGACTCCTGCCCTCTGAGAAATTACATTTATTTTTTTCCTAGGGAAATACATAAATATTTCTATAGGCAATTCACCTTCATTTTCTTCAGTTCAGTTGACGTCCTTTTTCCAGGAATACAGTTTCTCCTCGTCAGTCAAGCTTCCTGGTCAGCATACTGCTTTTAAAAGAACGAGGTAATTTTTATAAAACTGAAGAAATATATACTTGCAATTTGCTAAGAATTTTCTCTTTTATTTCAAAGTCTGTTACATACCCTGTACCTGACCCAAATTTTCATTTAAATTTCAAACTCCAAATAAAACATCTCTATGAATAGTGGAAGCCCTGGTCCCCTAGTGGTTAAGTGTTATGGGTGCTAACCAAAAGGTTGGCAGTTCGAATCCACGAGGCACTCCTTGGAAACTCTATGGGACAGTTCTACTCTGTCCTATAGGGTCGCTATGAGTAGGAATCAACACAATGGCAGCGGGGGTTTATGAATAATGGCTGAGGGTGACTAGCTCTACCAAAACACAATAACACAGCAACAAAGATAATCAAAACTCTTCTGATTTAGTTTTTGCTTTAGTAGACTAGCTAATCTCAGATGCTGTGACTTCCAAATAAACACAGAGATGCGTAAAACTACCCGGTTCTGCGTTTGCACTCCTCCTTGCAAAAGGCAATCTTTCTCCTAGTTGTTAGAAAATCCCATATCAAATAGTTAAGCTGGGTTTTTTTGTTTCTTTTTTTTTGGTGCCATATCGTATGAAATAAACACAACATTCCAGTATTTAACTTAACCTGACACCTACAACTGAACATCAAACTTGTTCCATAGTAGAAACAGAAAATATATTTAAAATGGCATCAAATGACACATCACTCAAGACTTAACACGTAAAGCTCTTACAATAGGCAAACAGATGAAGACATGCAGCCTTGAATCTAAACTTTGAGGAGTGAAAGGTACACCCACGACCGTTTGGCTGCCTCGTTTATAACCCGCCACTGCCAAGCAGCTCTCATGGTTGTTAACTCATGGGGATGGGTGTTTGTCTCTCCCACTATCCACTTCACAGGCGTTATCTGAGGGCTCCACGCAGTACCAGCCCGCGAACTCGAGCCTGGGCCAGGCGGAAGGGCAGAGCTCCTCAGCAGCGCCGGGGCCAGGACGTTGGGGCCCGCCAGCCGCGAGGACACAGCTCCCGGCGTTAGCCGCGGGGCCCACTTTCTCCCCACGTCGGGCTCAGAACGCAGACTGCTCCTTCGTTTTATATGTGATAGGGGGCCAACAGTTACTTATGGCAGGAAGGAATATTATCCACGTTCCACACAGAGCTTTGAAGCTGAGTAATGGGTATGAGCTCCCCTTGTTGCGCTCAGCCAAGAACCTTCCACCGCTTCCCCTTAGGGTATCTCCCAGCCACCACCGCAGCACGCGGCCTGGAAACGCATCCCGCGGCGAGCAGAAGGTAGGCGCACACCAGACAGATTGAGCATGCGCCGCGGCCGGGCCGTCGGTTTTACGGCCTCCCCCCACCTCACCCCCGCCCCACCCCCTCAACCAGCTACGCGAGTGGCGAGACGAGGCGGTCCACGCCTCTACTCTGTTCCGCAGGCGGTGAGGAGCGGGAGCGTCCGGGCTCGGGCGCCGGTGCGTGATGACGCACGTGCGTATGCACGAAGACGTGGGGACGCAGGCAAGTTGTAGAGAGCGTGAGTTTTCGTGTGTGTTTGGCTGTGTTCGCGTCGTCGGCCTGGCGCGGTGTTTTTCCGGTTTTCCCGGGGCCTCGGATGCCGGCGACGGGCCAGGGGCTGCGGTGCCGCGGGCGGCGCCTCCCAGGGGCCGCGGCGGGGGCGGGGTGGAGCGCAGCCTTCTCTTCCGGGACACTTTGAACAGGTCTAGAGCGGGGAGAAGCGGAGCCCTGGTGGTGCAGTGGTTAAGAGCTCGGTTGCTACCCAAAAGGTCGGCAGTTCGAATCCACCAGCCACTCCTTGGAAACCATATGGGGCAGTTCTACTCTGTTCTATAGGGTCGCTATGAGTGGGAATCAACTCCACGGCAGCGATTTAGAGCGGGGAGGGCGTTTCTTGGAGCGAGACAACCGGGGGTTCCCGGGCCTCCACGTCTCTCTCCTATCCCTGTTTGAGGCTGGACCTCGCAGGGAACGCAAGGCGCTGGGAGGATGGGTTTGGCCTTGTGGGGGTTGTAGAAAATCCCCTTTGAAAGCCGGAAGTTTAAAGCGGCGTTGTGTAAGCAACACAACTTGTAGTTTCAGGTGTTCTCGGATAGTAGCTTTATTTCTATGAACAAGTGCGGGAAAAACACAGATCTAAGCAGAGTAGTGGTATTTCTCGTAATAGACAGTAGAAAATTCACCTAAGTGAATTTAAGCCTTGTCTGCCCATTCTGAAAACCTTTGGATAGACATTTCTAAAAACATTTATTTGTTTATACAAATGGGGCATAAACTTTTTTGAAAACTCAAGGTTACTGTCAAAATGAGTTATTGCATAGTAATGATTAAGGCATCCAGGTGTGGAGATCACTTTGCAGTACACTCAGACGTTACTTTAAATTTTTTAGTGGTCTTTTTTTTTCGTCGACTTCCTCACATTTGTATGTTAGTTTTTGCTAGTTCTAATAAACGTTAAAAGCTTCTACCTTGCTACTGATCTGTCGTGGCTTGGGAAGCAAATAAAATTGGTTCTTCAAGTGTCCCAGGACTATTAGCATCAGCATCACCTGGGAACTTGTTAGAAATCCAAATTTTAGAGTATCACTCCAGGCTTAATCAGAAAGCTGTTTCTACAAGCCCCTTGATCCCAATGCACCTGGGCTCTAAAGTTTGAGAGCCACTGGCTTAGTGATTCAGAACACCCATTGTGGAGTCACAAATAGGGAATTTGAATCCAGATGAATTTCCTAGATGTAGAACCTTGGACAAGTTACTTAAATAGTTCAGTATACAGTAAGTGCTTAATACGCACACACACAGAAAACAGATGAAATATCACTAAATTTGTTAGATTGTATTGGAAGGATTCTTCATTAGAGTAGCTATAAGTGGTGTTGCACAGATATCACCCATTGCCATTTAGTTAATTCTGACTCAGCGACCCTATAGGATAGAGTAGAACTCCCTATAGGGTTTCCAAGGGGTGGCTGGTGGATTCTAACAGCCAACCTTTTGGTTAGCAGCTGAACTCTTAACCACTGCGCCACCAGATATTAGTTGTTGTTAGGTGCCGTCAAGTTGGCTCACGCTCATGGTGACCGTATGTACAACAGAACGAAACACTGCCAGGTCCTGCGTCATCCTCGTAATCATTGTTACACTTGAGCCCGTTGTTGCAGCTACAATGTCAGTCCACCTCCTTCAAAGTCTTCCTCTTTCCCTGACCCTCTGCTTTACCAAGCATGAGGTCCTTCTCCAGGGACTGGTCTCTCCTGATAACATGTCCAAAGTATGTGAGACATAGTCTCACCATCCTCTTTTAAAGAGCATTCCTGCTGTACTTTTTCCAAGACAGATTTGTACCTTGTTTTGGCAGTCCATGGTATCTCGAATAATCTTCACCAACACCATAATTCAAATGCATCAATTCTTCTTTGGTCTTCCTTATTTATTGTCCAGCTTTTGCACACGTATGAGGTGATTGAAAACACCATGGTCAGGCGCACCTTAGTCCTTAAAGTGGTATCTTTGCTTTTTAACACCTGAGAAAGGTCTTTTGCAGCAGATTTGCCCAGTGCAATGCGTCTTTTCATTTCGTGACTGCTGCTTCCGTGAGTGTTGATGGTGCATCCAAGTAAAATGAAATCCTTGACAACTTCAGTCTTTCTTTGTTTATCATGATGTTGCTTATTGATCCAGTTGTGAAGATTTTTTTTTCTTTATGTTGAGGTGTAATCCATACTGAAGGCTATAGTCTTTGATCTTCATCAGTAAATGCTTCAAGTCCTCTTCACTTTCAGCAAACAAGGTTGTGTCATCTGCATATCACAGTTTGTTAATGAGTCTTCCTCCAATCCTGATGCCCCGTTCTTCTTCGTATAGTCTAGTTTATCAGATTATTTGCTCAGCATACAGATTGAGTAAGTATGGTGAAAGGATACAACCCTGACACACACCTTTCCTGACTTTAAACCATGCAGTGTGCCCTTATTCTGTTCAAATGAATGCCTCTTGATCTATATATAGGTTCCTCATGAGCACAGTTAAGTGTTCTGGAGTTCCCATTCTTCACAGCATTATCCACATGGTCAAATGCCTTTGCATAGTCAATAAAGCACAAGTAAACCATCTTTCTGGTATTCTCTGCTTTCAGCCAGGATCCATCTGACATCAGCAGTGATATCTCTGATTTCACATCCTCTTGAATTTCCGGCAGTTCCCGGTCAATGTACTCCTGCAACCACTTTTGAATGATCTTCAGCAAAATTTTACTTGCATGTGATATTAATGATATTAATTATATTGTTTGATAATTTCCACATTCGGTTGGACCACCTTTCTTTGGAATAGGCATAAATATGGATCTCTTCCAGTTGGTTGGCCAGGTAGCTGTCTTCCAGATTTCTTGGCATAGAGGAGTGAGCACTTTAGCTCTATTATCTGTTTGTTGAAACATCTCAATTGGTATTTCGTCAATTCCTGAGCCTTGTTTTTCACCAATGTTCTCAGTGCAGCTTGGCCTTCTTCCTTCAGTACCATCAATTCTTGATCCTATGCTACCTCCTGAAATGATTGGATGTTGACTAGTTCTTTTATTTTTTTATTTTTTTATTTTACTTCAGGTGAAGGCTTACAGAGCAAATAGTTTTTCATGAAACAGTAGTACACATATTGTTTTATGACA